GCCTCCCTCTCCCTCCTCGACTTCTGGCCAACTCTAGAATCCATGTCCGTCTGGCAGCCTGCCGATCCGTCGCTCGAGTGGTTCGACGGCCAGATTGAAGACTTTGCGACGACGTGTCGGAATAAGAACATCACGGGCAGACTTCTCAAGCCGATGTTGCTGAGGTGGAAGAAGGCGGAACACTGGGATTTGATGAAGGAGACGACGCTTTATGATCGGAGTGATCCGCAGTTGGGTGTTGTGGATAGGTTTTGGAGGGAGGAGTGGGAGGGGAGGCCGCTGGGGATGGGGTGTCAGTATCATCTGAATGCGTTGGCGAAGGGGAAGGTTAGGATGCGGAGGTAGGAGACTGCTCGACTCTCCGGATCATACGCATGGTACATCCTTCTCGCACGATTTACCGCCAAACAGAACCGCGTTTCCCCGGCATTCTACTACAGTCTCAGACAAGCGCCTAAACGACTTCGATTGCTCTCACGCAAACTTTTGCCTATTTAAAGCTTCCGCCCCAGCGTGCCCAGGCACCCTCATTTCTTGATCACCACCGCCAGCACCAATACGAACGATTATGGCTACCGACTATGACTTCTTCGACGACTTCACCACAGCTCAATCCCTACCCCCCGGACAAGGCCCCATCCTCATCGAACACAATCCTCCGCCCCTCCTACCACCGCGACCATCTCTGCAGAGTCTACCCTACCTGGCGAAACCATCACATTTAGACCAACGAATTCCCGGGTTCGTCTTTGGCATCTTCCTCCTGGCCTTCTTTCACGATTGCTCTGTTCTCATCAGCGACTGCTGGCATCGACGCGTGAAGGTACGATCGATCGTAAGCCTAGCTGTATGTGCGGTTGTTGTATTCGTTATCGGGAAGGGTATGTGGGACCTTGCGATGTTAAAGAATCAGCTTGGGGAGGCGCAGAGGCAGCTTTGGCAGGTGCAGGAGAATCTGTTGCAGTGTCTGTCGGCACCGAAGCTATCGTCGGGGAGTCCGATTAGGATGGCTTGGGTAAGGGATGGGGAGTAGATGGAGCGAAGGAGAGGGCAACGGGAGGTTGGTGGTTGCAATGCACATGCTGGCGGGTTTGCAACATAGATTTCCAACTTGTCTTATATATAATCTTACACATGTCACTATAGTACAACAGGTAATCTCACCGTGTCTGAATTTCGTAGAATACAGCCGTTGGGCATGTCTTACTTCTCGTGTCTTTCTCGAGCCAAACGCGATAGTGCGGTTCTGCGACATGTCGACACAATCTCAGATAAAGTTTTACATCATGGTGAGCAAGCTCTGCGAAACGTCCAACAGAATAACAGTTATAAAAGCGCCTAACCGAGCGTCTTCGTCTTGCGTATCCACCGTCACAGCATCGAACATCAACACAATAACCGCAGCCGTATCTATCTGCATTCATCCAAGCCTCATCACAATATGTCAACATATTACATCCTCTACCAACTTCCTCCCCTTATTGCAGTCATCATCCTCACCCTTATTTTCCAGCACATCATCAGGCGACACCTCAACACCATTCGCAAGATCAAGTATGCCCTCAGAGTCGTCGCCATCAGCCTTGGTATCGCGTATCTCTTGTACGTCGTTGTCACCAACATTTTGGAAGTTGCGGAGATGCGACGCTGGATCAACATGGAGGGTCGGGCAATATTTGTGGATGAAAGATGCTCAGGAGGGAGTTATATAGCGGGTTTGGAGGAAGGCTTGCGGATGTGCGGGTAGGGCTCTAGGGGTGATAGAGGGTGGTTGTTTCAGTGTTTGCTGGGGGTGTGAGTGGCATAGGAGAGAATGGAGCTGTGGAGAGTGTAAAAGTGTTGGTTGAGAGGAATTCTGTCAACGGTATGAAAGGAAGAGGCTAATTAGAAGAGGTAAACTTGGAAGGGTGAGAACTCGTTATAGCCGATATGCATCGCACTCCATTGAACTTCCATTAGCTTCCGCCGCTTTTCTTCGCACATCTCACACCCAATTTCCTCTCTTCGATCCCTTCTATCACCCTTCCTAACTTCCCCTTCTCCCAATCCCTCTTTACCAAAGGTCGAATCAATCATTCTCATACATGAGATGGCATCTCAAGATTTCCCTCTCCATCCGCGCCAACTGATCCTGTAGCTCCGCGATTTCCAATAAGCTACCTACGAAGACGTAGATAGCGAGAGCCGATGCAATGATAGCTAACCACAAATCTGCATGAGGTTCCAGAATAGCTTCTTCGTAAAGAGAGATGAGCATGACGAAGTTGAAGATGAGGCAGAGGAGGACGATGCATTGGAGGAGTTGCCACGGGAGATGCGTGGTGGGCATCTTGTTGTTGGTTGGCTGGGTGGATGATGGGACTGTTGCTGGATTGACTGGGTGCAAGGGATGGTCGGATGGATGGATGGCGGTTTGTAGTGGTGGTTAAGATGAAGATGAACGGTTTGTATTGAACGGGCTTTATGCATGCGTTGGTAGAGAATGGGTTTGGAAGCCTTTGTTCGGTATAATGTGAGAGCGAGTGTGCTCAGCTCGCTCAAAGCAAGCTGTAGCATTTGTCGCATATTCTTTTGGTGTCTGGTTTGATCTCTGACGTGGACAGAGATCACAGCTTTCTCGCTAGTTACAATCGTTTTTTCGCGCCACGACGCGCTCTTGATTGCTCTCCAAGGGCCATTGAGACAGTAATTGCTTGAACAAGAAATGTTTGCGAAGAACAGGCAACAGGAGATAGCAAGCTTTGGCCTGATGCTGAAATATACCACCGTGTCAGTGCCCGTGTAGACGCCTAATTCATTCACGTCTCCCTAGCCCAGCGAAGCCAAGTACACACTCACACGCTCATCCCATCTATTCAACCACACCAAAGTCTCATCCGACATGTCAGTCACGATCCTTGAGTTCCTGGGGTACTACTTCTTATGCGCTCTGTGCGTGCTTTCCCACACCGTTATAGACGGCGTCTTCCGCGGCCATAACTTCGAGCAGACTATGGACCGCTTTCAGAATGACCTGCGCGTTATCGCGGGATGCTTCCCGGTATGCATTGCGGGTCACTTCTTGGTCGTTATTGTGGAGGGTGTCTTGAGTGAAGGAAAGTAAGACTGATGCGTTGGTTGTAAAATGAAAGGAAGGGAGAGATGATCGCTAGTGAATGGTTGATGAAGCAGGAGGAATGAAAAGAACCTAGGGCAGAATACTGGAGAATGGATGAGGCAAAATGACTTGGCTAGATACCGTACCGCGCAGGGGGGGTTTCAAGATGCTATTTCATGACAATTGCAGCGCCCAAAAGCTATCAGGGGTATTTTGATGAGTGTTAACATTAATCTGACAGCATTTAGCAGGTGAGATCCTTCGTATTTTAACTTGTTTTGCGCCTAAAAAAGCTATCATCCCGAATATAACCTAGACAGCGATGCAGGGGCTGAAATACATTAAGTTTCCGACTAATATCAAGAAGGAGGGAGCAATCAGGGGCTGGCATAAGGCGTAGGTGTGGCGTAGGTGGGGTGTAGCTAGAATAGTAAATTCAACAGTCTTGGCAGACCTCGGATAGGACCCTACATTCCGACGCTTAACACCAGAAGCCTGCACGCATCGCCAGCGTGTGCAACGCGAAAAAGACCCCCTAGAATACAGGTTATATACGTCCGTGCACTCCCTACGTACACGCTGCCCATGGTGCTGCCGTCGTTGCGAAAATCTGGGTCTCTGACAGCGGAGATCATCTCAGGGGTGACATGATGTTGAAATTGGCCCAACATCGCTCCAAAAGCTGTCAGGGGCTTGATTCATCTCATCGACGTCACAGTGATGGACGAACTTCGCGATTTCAATGTATTTCAATCGAGTTGAGATGGTACAACAGCTGAAATCGCGTTGTGACGGTGAAGGACTGGCTTCTTGAAACCCCCCTTGGCCCGTACGGTAGTCGAATGGTGGACAATGGCTCGGTGGATAGCGCGGTTTACAGTTTCCGTATAATAAGTGCCTCGCTTACCCTTTTGTACTATATCAACATGTTAAAAGCCTAACGTACATGTGTAATCCCACGACGTCATTTGGCTGCACGTACCTTGTGGCCTGTGCTTTGCAAGGACTACTTTCGAAAGCAGAGAAGCTGCTAGCAACTCTGAAGTGCTTCTGAGAAGAAGGAGAAAGAGACGATCGTCAAACTCGGATTGCTGGCGTTAGCTATCACGCATCCCATCTCGTCTACTTGATCAAAGGAGATAGCAAGCGCAACGAACCACCTAAGGTGTGGATATATGAACACGATCACCACAGACTTATTAATACCACCTACAGCATACCACATCCAGCCACGATGTCCATAATCCTCAAACTCACCATCTTGGCAATCTACTGCTACGCCCTCTTCAGTGAAAATGTTCCGGAAAGAGGTCGATTCATATCCGGTATCGCGTGTACGCTCGCCCGATGCGATGACTTCAAATCCTATAAAAGGAACCCGGCTCTCGAAACATGCGAACAAAATCTCGATATTCTTGCACAGCGTATTCTGGAACTAGAGACCCGTCTCAAAGAGAGCATTGACGAAGGTCGGTGGGCCCGATTCAGAGACTACGAAGACGACTCTGAATTGACAAAGGTGGTGATGGATTGCTTGTCGGAGCGTGTGGAGGAGAAGATTTGGGGGGTTGGATCGCGGGAGAGGGAGCAGGTAGAAGAAGGAGAGGAAGGGGAAGAGGCAGAAGAGGCAGAAGAGGCAAAAGAGGAGCGGCAGAGGGATGATGGAGAGATGCGATCAGAATTAGATGAGGCTGAGTGAACTCCATTCCTGTTCTACACGTTTCAAAGGAAAGAAGGTTCTGGTAACGCGAAAATATTTCTGGAATACTGGGGTGATTTGATGCGCTCTTTGACTTGTCCGGCTTGATGAGTGCAGGCAGCAAACCCAATCTCATCGAGCATAGCTACATCATCAGAACGCACGGACCAGATCCCCTTCGAGCAACGCAGATCCCATCCCATCATGTCATCGTACGCCGTCACAGGATTGATAACCCTGGCAATCCTTTCCTTTGCCTACGTCGTTCGCCTTATCATCTTCCGCCCACTACTTATCGTACTTTATCCGAAATACGCCAAACCCCTCTTGCTAAGCATATCCGTTCTCGCCGTCATCGCAGTCTACCAACTCCGCACAAGCGACCAAGCCGTGCGAGCATGCAATCAAGCCCTCCAAGCATGCAGCCATGGCTTGCTCGCGTGCGAGAACGATCTCCAAAACGCTACCCAACAGAATGCCGCACTAAGGGACAATCACCCTATGAAAGGAGTGCCAGTGTTGAGAGCGGAGCTAAGCAAATGTCAAACGGAGAAGAGTATGCTGGGGTGGTTTGATGATGCTTGGCGGGTGCATGTTGAGGAGCACGGAGAAGACGAAGACGAAGAGTGGAGAGAGAGCATGATAGATACAATCCTTGGACAGATGAAGGATTCGATTTTGTCTGCCGAAAAGAAGAGGAGAGACGAGAAGAGGGAGCAGGCAGAGAACCACGAGGAGAAGTAGAGGATGAATTAGATGTTGGGAAAGCTTGGGGATGAGAAGAAGGTCCTGGTAACGCGGAAATCCTTCTAGAGAGCTGGAACAATGAATTGTGCGCTTTGATCTCTGCGGTTTGGAAAAAGTGTGTAGCAAACTCGAATTTAGGAGTAAATATATATCAGTAGAAGAAGAAGAAAGCAAGGACCCCACTCACGCAACGCATACCACCTCACCATGTCACTGCGCCTCGAAATAGCTCTATCCGTAATCTTCCCCCTCTTCATCGCATTCTTCATCCCCCACCACTTCGAACTCAATCGGGTCCTCTTACTATGGCTCCCCATCATCGCCGCACTCACCGCCATCGAGCTCTATACGAACGACCAAGCCCTCCAAGCACACACCCAAGCCCTCCACACATGCAAACACGCCCTTAACATGACCCTGCAGGGAGGGGTAGTCCAAGCGCACAGGCACAGTCATCACATGGCTGCTGTAAGAGCTAATCTGCGTGAATGTCTAGAGGAGAGAGATGTGCTGAGACGGAACGAGAAGGACTGCAACGCGCGTTACAAGGCGCACGAGGAAAGCGTGCAGTGGATAGATAAGATGGTAAGTGGTATGAAGGGACAGATAAGGGAAGACGTTTGTGCGGTTGGGCAGGAAGGAGAGGTGGAGAAGGGAGAGTAGTGGGAGTGGAGGGTGGAGTGTGTGGAAATGGATGTTGGAGTAGTGCGAAGGTGACGCGATGGAGGCATCTCGCCACACAATGTTAGAATTCGGCGGTGGCTTGGAGATGGCGTAAGGAAACATTAGAGCATTCGAAGACTGTCATAAAGATACGAAGAATGTAGCCTGCCGTGTAGAAGAATGGTCACGATGAGGGTGAACGTTGCCATCTTGCACGTGCCCTCGCGTGTTGTTAGCGCGAATGGCGCGTCATAGCGAGTTGCATCCCGCGTTGCCTGACCCGAACACTTGCATGAACATCCGCAATGACGGACATCTGGAGCGGAGATATTCTGCTACCCGACGGCAACGTTGTTAAAGGTACAGATCATCATTTATCGGGAAGTAACAACCGCTGATCATCCACAGACGTCGGCCTCGCGTCGCAAAATGTCGCGTCTTCTCCAGCCCTCCCCGCCACGTCTCTGCGCTTCCTCACCACGGTCGATACCGCCAAGATACCGCTATACCTTGCCGCCGGCTCTAGTCTAGATGTATGGACGACGGAAGAAACTACTCAAGCCTGGTTTGAGGCTGTACTGCTGAGTAAGCCTACGTTGGTGGACGCGCCCAACACTGCCGCGAAGGAATGGTGGGACCTGGCGCGATCACAGTCGCCAATTGGTTTCCTTGTACAAGTCCAAAAGGTTGAGGAAGACGGGCGAAAGCCCAGAGTGACCGAGATCCTCTTCTATGGCACCATCGCCGCTTCTACCACGGCTGGGCTACCCACACCACCATCCTCGTCCCCATACGTCGACAATGCGCACGCTGAGATACTTCCTGAGCTTCGAGTTCACGCACTGCCACTTTCGTCTGATCTCCTGAATGCTACCAGCATCGACTTGCCCATGGACGCCGAGCCTCAATTCCTTCCGCCGCAGCACGAGTTCCACAACCCCCCAACATCACCAAAGCGAACGAGAGACATATTTGAAGAAGCGACCATAGCCAACAAGAAGGCGCGAGGAAGGGGTGGAAGAGCAGTTTCGGCAGCAGCAGCTCGCGTGAGCGAGTCTCAGCAGGCATACAGCCACCGAAAGTCGTCGCTCTCTATCGATCTGAAAGCCTCGTCTCTCTCTGACTCCAGACCAACATCTGCTTCCGACCTTCTAGCCCGCCCTTCTTCGCGCCCACTCTCGCGATCACCGAGCATAACCTCCGATTCAAGACCCCTCAGCCGAAAGGGTCAACCCGACGCGCATGCCAGACGATCGAATCTGTCCCAGGTCGCTACGGTACCCATACAGCCCGAAGAGCCAACAACAGAGTCGCGGAACAAGGATGCACTGGTAAAGGTGGTCATGGCAGCGATGCGCATGCATGGCTTGCAGCAGCGGAAACAGAACAGGTCTCGCCGCGCCTCCGTGGCTGGTGCCGAAGAAAGCCAGCAGCGGAGTGAAGAAGCAGTCGCTGAAGAGGCGGCGAAAGACGATGAGTACAAGCTGATATACCACCAAACCTTTAAAGGTGCACAACTGGCACTGGTAAGACGCGTGAACCTACATCCGAGACACTCGCTGACGATACTGCAGAGAAAGCACATGTCTGAGAAACCGCTCCATGCCACCCCCGACCGAATGCGCGACATCGTCGAAAAGCTACTGGCTCTCTTTCTCTCCGACCCGCTTGCGGAACCTCCGCCTTCTGAGATACCCGCGGACCCAGTCGCCACACCCGGTAGTAGACCCAGATTCGTGATTCCTGGATCCACACATGGCCATGCCAGCCCATTCGACTTGCCTAGCACACAACGACGTCCTGGCATGATGAGATCTGTTACCGATAGCCATGTTTATACGGGATCACCAGTGAGCAAGAAAAGAGTTACTACGGGCGAGACGTTGACAGTGCCTACGTGAGGTGTTGTGCGAGGTGCCAATACTGGATACGAGAAAGACTTCCACTGCGGCCCATGAACGTCAGCCTTGATGATGCATGGTTGCAGCGACTCAATACGAACAGCGTACACTTTGCTAGGGACCTGCAGTTGATCTATTTCTGCATCTTCTCCTTCTTGGCACCGGCCGCGACGCTTGTCACCATCAGTAAGCACTGTGGAACAATCATCAACCCTCCCAAAGCGGTAATTGTTAGAGTAGACGCCGCGACGTCGTAGCCGTCGTATAGAAATGTTCTACGTGCCCTTGCAGCGGAGCCTTGCGCATACGAGTGGCGTCATGGGGCATGGAATCCGATTTTGACCCTGGAGTTGCCTCAAACACCTCGAAGCACCGTGGCTATGCAACGTAGCATCAGGTGCGTCATCACGGGACCGACATAAACTATAGTGTCGCAACGATGGCCCCGTCTACGGTGAACAGAGCTATAAAGCCTCTGTTTCGTGTCTTTGGAGAAGGAACCAACGTCAACAACGCCAACAAGCTTCTCATACACCCATCCCGCTAAATCATACCATACGATCAAGATGCTCTCCAAGATCACCGCCCTCACCCTCCTCGCCACCAGCGCATCCGCCGCAGCTCTTCCCCGAAGCGCGGACTGGACTTGGGACGTCACCGACTTCAGCAGCGTCTGCAGCGCATCCGCCTGCCGCTACTCCTTCAACGTCACCGCGCCCACCGGTCCCTCCGGCCAACCAGCCTTCAATGCGGAGTTCTGCTCCGGCACTAGTCTCCAGGGTGGCTACAAATCTTGCGGTGTGGTTGGCATTGATGTACCGGGCGATGTGCAGACGCAAGAGTTTAACCGCGGGAGTGATGTCGGTGCGACTGTCAGTGTAAAGTACACTTTTACGCAGTGAGTATATTCCTGGTTGGGAGGTGGGGGGTTTGAGGATGGTGGGAGCTGACATGTGGTAGGGGTGAAGTTAGGTACACGTACACGGGTAACGAGACTGTTAAGCATACTGGATTGGGCCCGACTGTGGATTTCAGCATTGTGCCTACGGAGGTTACTGCTGTCGCTTAAACCACTTAGGAAGTCGCGGTGCGGGTAATGACAAGCGCGCTGGCATTGGGGAAGGCGGCTCAAGCGCACAGCGACTGGCAGAATGGCGGACTCAGCGAAGGATATTGTGTGTATGTGTATGCTACTGTATCTACTTCCCATGATCGATGAAGGAGTGGATGGTCTTCAAAGCAGGACCAAAAATGATATCACCAGTACGCCCAAATCCAACAAAATGCCCATACTCCTCCTATCAGTTCCTTTCCAATTTTGTCCTTCTCGCCTCCTCCTCAGCTCGAACTTTATAGTGGTACCCTCTCGCCGTATATCCACTGATCGTTCTGGGCGTCTCCGATATCGCTTCACCCATCTTAAAGCGCATGGTGATGGTCTTAGTTACTGCCGTAATGGTCGCCGTTCGCGCTCCGATAGCGGCAATGGAGACATGGTTCTCGGATGGAGGGCTGTGGTCGGTCGATGGATAGGAGGCGTTGGTAAATGTATAGATGTGTGTAGGGATATGTTTGGCCGCAGCACTTCGTTTCACGGTCGGGATACGTTTGCTCTGGGTCTGCATCTGTTCGCAGGGACTGTCTTGTTGGTGAAGTGGCCGCGGACTCGTGATAATGTACAAAGAGGACTAAAAACCCGTAGAGGGCAAAGAACAACGGCACCTGCCAAACGAGGTGAGGATCCGCGTCTGACATGGTGTGCTTGTCTGTACCGGGGACGAGGAGAGCAAGCAGGATTTGAGGAGTACCCAAGACGGGTGTGCTGACGTTCAGGCAATAGTAGTGAAGATGAGATGTGAGAATAGAGAGTGGATTGATGGTTTGTCGAGATGGATGAAAGATTCGCAGCATGATATATAGCGTGTATGGTTGCTAGGCAGAAGAGACAAGGCTTGACGATTTCCTTGTCTCACCAAAGCGTCGCGCGCGCGACGCTTCAGTGAGACATGCACGTGGGCATGTGCGAGTGGGTATGTTTTGAAGAACGCGGCCAGGCCGATCGATCCGCGCCGCATGTTTGAGTTGAGGTGTAGCGGTGTGATTGCGAGTTGCGATGTGCGTTGCGCATAGGCTGGCTTAGAAATGGGCAGTGCGGGTATCGATAGGGAAAGAAAAGAAGGATGATATCGGAGGCTATTGATGATTATTTTGCTATGGAAGGTGAAGCAAGTTCGATAGAGGAGCAAGCTCAGCTGATGAGATGATGATCTTTGCTTTCCAATCACTATTCAGAGACGAAAGCGAGGAGGTAGTATTAAAAGGAACATCGGCATCCATTGGAGTACACTCTTCGCCTCCACTTTTACAACCTCCCGCCTTCTCAGTTCGTTCGAGACAACTCAGCTGGAGGTGCTACTCCTCTGGCTTTCTCTCTCCCTGGCTCTTCCTCTGGCTCTCCTTCTGACTCTTCTCCTGACTCTCCTCCTGACTCCTCTTCTGACTCAGCTTCTGACTCAGCTTCTGTCTCTGCCTTTATCTCTCCCTCTGTCTTTCCCTCTAGCACTTCCGCTTCCCCGTACACGTTTACACGCAACGTTCCGTCCTGCGCCACATAGATGCGCATGCTTCCACCCTGCCCCATCTTGATGTTTCTCCTTGTCCCACCAAGTTCGTGAGCCTTCTCCTTCCTGTTGCCATGTTCGTGCTTCCCAGCTACCGTCTTATTCTCAGGCCCGCCACCAAACACCAGGACGCCTACACACACTATGAAAGCGACGAAAGCAAAACAGATGAGCCATTTCGCGAGCAAAGGCGGCTGGTGAGGAGAGATCTGGGTCGAAGCTAAGACAAGGGATGTATTGAGGTTGGACATGGTATCTGTAGTTGATAGATGAGTTGGCTTGGTGATCTGCTTGAGGTTGGAGATGTAGAATAGGCGGTTGGATATGAGGAATGGGTGGCAAGATGATATATAGCTTTCGCTGGTGTTTGCTGCGAGAGCGAATTCTTAGATGTTTCTTTGTTGCACGCTGATGGAAAAGCATCGGAAGTTCTTGAACGTTTCGCGCTGTGAGGCTATCAAGTGGTGTAGTACCAGGCCTTGGGGTGAAAGCACTCGATGCATGTTCTTAGTCTCCCGAAGTCAACACAACCGCCTAGTACATTCGTAGAAGCTTGCTTGCGCGGCGGTTGTTAGAACGTCTGAAGCGCCCAAGAGCGTTTCTCACATGTAAACGTCACCCATACAATCTCTAGAACTAACCCAAGAGCGGGCACTCATGAGAGTAGTCCCAGCATTTGGAGATCATAGCGCGTTCATTTCTACTGCCCTTCTCATGCACTTCCATCTTATTATCCCCTTCATCTGTCCCATTCTACCCCCACTATCGTCATTCTTACTCCAAACCTTCCACCTCCCCGAAAACATTAACATGCAACGTTCCGCCCTGCATCATGTTGATGTACATGCTTCCACCCTGGTGTATGTGAATGTGAATCTGCGTTGAACGGATTTCGTGAGCGTCTCCTTCCTCGATCTCCGCTTCTTCTGGCTGCTCGCCGTGCTCTTCATGTTCGTCTTCTCCATCATCATCGTCGTTGCTATCCTCGGCATCTTCAAATCTCTCCGCATCATCATCTTCGTTGTTGTCCTCTGCATCTTGACTTCTCTCCGCATCATCAACGCGCGCCTCACCATCTCCTCCCGCCATATACCCAGAAACCATACTATGCACCACACCCTCTCGCAGCTCAACAGCATCATCTCCATTAGCTTCCTGGGCTGCCGCATGCATGTTCGCCAAATAACGGACCCCCAGATACAACAACGTGGTCACCACCGCTAGACTATTCGCTGCCCACCAATTCGGGAATAGGCCAAAAATTCCCAAGTCGAAAAATGCAATGATACAGTAGATTTTAATGATCCAGGACCTTTTTTCAGCAGCGCAGCGGGCAGCGACTGGGTTGTTAGGAATGTTTTGGTCGGGCATGATCTAGATGTGGAGGTTTTGGGTTGGTTTGGTGTGATGATCGGTTTGGGGTTCGTGGGTAGGTTGGAGATGTAACGATGAGAGATGACTGGCGAGATAATGGTTTCGGGGTTTTGGAAAGGCAGAGTGGTGCGGAAGCTGAAATGTAGCGTGGACTGATGTTTGCTGTAGAAGAATGGGGGTAGATGTTGCTTTGTTGCTTGTGCGAAGAAAGATCTAGTCGTTGCGTTTACATGTTGTGCTGCGCGAAATCGCATGTAGAAGTAAACCTTCGCTGCATTTTCTCCTCGCAGTGGTTTATACGGTATTCTCGGATATATTTTGGCCCTTTCTAGATCTCTATAAAGATCTCTACCTCTGCCTTCACTTCTATAATGACATACTTGTCGATGCCTCGAAACTCCGTTGTGCTAAAGTGGTGATGATACAAAGTTAGTATGTGCCGCAGTAGTAGTATTGATTCGCGCACATGACATGGCAAATGCGAGCCTATACTAAGTTCTCTAATCATTCCGAGAGATGTCGTACCTTCTTCACGTGAGATGCAAGCGCTCCTTACTAGTTAGTTCGGCGGATGCAGCGTCATGGCCGCGCGATAGTACGATGGTACCTTTCCGGGGGTCTGTAGCGGTTTACATATGGTAACAGATGACACGATATGAGCTCTATGTGTATAGCTGCGCAGAATGATGCTGAGCCAGGCCGGCTTATGGCGGCGTCGGGGGGACCGCGGGGGCGGCACGCGGGCGGGAAGATGGCTACGCGAACACCGGCACTGCTGACTAATCATGTCCCACACACGCCGCTCGACGCGTCGCGTCTTCTGCACCTCACTCATCGCGTCCTTAGCTTCAGCACACGCGCTTTCGGCGACATCGCACTATGACTAGCCCGAGATCAGTAGCAGCTCAGGATCTATCACTCTTGGGTCATATGCGACACGTCGTGTCACCAGCCTCGTCCGCCGCGCAGTTGGCGATGAGTGAGATCTCCATGCGACTTCCTCAG